GGAATTCGTGACTTCATTATGCGAGACGACGGACATGACGGCGAGCTGCTCGCAGATGATGATGGTGCCGGCAGAGACGGACTTGAGGATCTGGCACATGATGATGTAGCCGATGTAGGAATCGGGCTGGCGGAAATGGATCAGGAGGCCGGTCGAGAGCGCGGCGACGGGCACTGCAGCAACGGCAATCCACTTGTAGTGGTTTGTCTGGCGGATCAGACTGTGAAGTTTCAGCAAGATGACAACGAACATGAAGAGGCGAGGCGCGGCTTACACTCCGACAATGGGGCCCCAGGTGCAGGAGGCAATGGTGTAAATGTTCAGGATGAATCCAGCCTGGCTGATGCTGCGCTGGTGAACAACCTGCAGGTACGACGAGAAGAACGAATCCCAAGCGTTGAAGCTAAGGAACAGGGCACCGGCAACACCGCAGGCCCCGATGATGGTGCGATCCTTCAGGTTGACCCACGGAACGAGCGGCACTGAAGCGTACTTCTTCTCCCAGAAGCCAAAGGTCGCAAGCAGGAGAGGACCCAAAATGATCATGGCGATAATGTAGCCCGTCTTCCAGCCGTTCGGCGCGTAGGATACCAGACTGAAGGGTAACAAAAAGAGAGAGAACCCGGTGGCCAAAAGGAACATGCCGATGACGTCGAACTCCTCAAAGTAGTAGCGGCACGACTCCTTCCATGTTCGAACGCTCACGGGAGAGACGAGCTCAATGCCCTGCTTCTTGGCTTGGTTGAGGTTGTACCACAGCATGATACAGATCAAGACACCGAAGAAAGGGAAGATGATGGCAAAGGATCCGAAAGCCCAGCGGAACGTGCTGTGTTCGTAGAAAAGCTCGGCCACGATGGGACCGGCAAATGCATTGCCAATGTATGCCGTGGAGTTGAGGGCGAAGATAATCATGCGGTTGCGTAGGGACGTAAAGTCGGAGATGAGGACAGTGTGGATGTATCCAATACCACCACTTCCAACTGTCCAAAAGACCTGGGCAGCGGCATATGTCTCGACGTTGCGGCAGAGAGCCATCATGATCAGACCGACTGAACAGAGAATGTGACACAGGAGATAGCCCTCCATTCTTCCAAAGATGTTCAGAATCTTGGCCAAGGGCAACTGCGTCACACCGTACATTAGACCAGATACGATGCCAGTTGTGGACGTCAATCCATGGCGCTGAAATTCGGACGTGACGTATGGAGTGAGGTTGCGAGAAAGCTGCTGCTGCATAGAGTGGGTGTACGAGGTAATGTAGATGCTGTGGCCTGTTAGTACTTGGACGCAAGCATCTATTAGAAGTGAAGAGAGGATGACCTACATGATGTACATCACGATGAGGGCCTTGTAAGACCATGCCGAAGTAATAGCACGAATCTTCTCAACACCATACTGCTTCTCCTTTGTATCGTATTCAACGTCCGACTCTTCACCCTTGGGCTTGTCTTGCTTTTCGTCACCAGACCTGTCATCCGAAATGACAGCGGAATCCTTCGCCGCAGCCTTCTCGTCGGCGCCAGTGTGGCTCATGACATGGCCGAGGGCAGGCCCAGGCTGGCCAGCCATATCATCCTCGGGTCTAGCAGACATTCTGGGTGACGTTTGTGGTATTTTCCCTGTCCTGGAGATTTCGTAAGGGGTTCAGCGAAGAACTAAGCAGTCAGGGATCGTCAGAATCAGGGTCGCAAGACCATAAGGGACCGTCTCATGTCTTATAATTGCAAGGACTTTGCAGATCCCCTCGGTCGCCACAAGGGTCGGAGACCGGAGTTCGTACGGCAATTGCACGTCCTTGAAGTTGCATTGCCAGGACGCAAAGGAACGGCGCGAAACAGTGCCTGGGCTGGTCGATCAGTGCCCAAAGCTCGTGTTCTCCTTGGGCAGTCTGTCACATTGGAGCCCACCCTAGGCTTGAATCCTGCGGTCGTGTACATGTGCGAGCTATGGACTTGCGGGCCAAGCTCGAAACAGAGCAACATCCTGCGACGGTAGGGTAGGGTATCTTCTTGTGGCACCACTTGTGAGCGCCTAGCCCACTAGATTTGGAGCTTTCGGTCCAACAGTCCAATGACAACTTGGGACATGACTGTTCAAAATCCACAGATCTTCATGGTCGGTTGCCAAGGCGGATCAGATAACGGTACGTCGCTTGGACGACCCACAGCTTCCGGATCTGATAACTTTAATCCCAGCCACCATCACGCACCAACGGCAGCCATTTAAACCCTTCCATGCACCTCAGTCGCCGCGGCGCTCCAACTAAGAGCCACCAAGCCGTCCAAAAGACCCACACGTTTCCGAGAGTGGTAGCATCGCTTGAGTGTTGAGGTATTTCCTCCACTTGTTGCGCCCCCAGTCTTCTAGAAGTATATGTCAGCCTCCGTCCGCGTTGTTCCGATCACTCGCTATCAGGTATTTCCTGACGCTATCGTGACCTGTTATCCGGCTTGGCATAGTCCACAGTGATTTATGAGTGGCTGAAACTGGAACCAGGTCCACCAGCATTTTGGAGTAAGCCCGAGTCATCTCGGATTGCACATTAGCTCAGATCCTTCATTTTGATCGCTGTGAAGGTCAGACTTTGAGAATGATGATGTTGCTTCTAACCCGTGTAACTTTCCATGTATGATGTATTCGTTGACAAGCCAAGTTTGACCTAATGGACTGAAGAGGGTGGCTTGTCTAATTGAATTGCGGAGCTCCGCTGTCGGTGGTCACCGCCCGACTCTGGCTGACGATCTCGGTGCTAAACTCTTCGTCTAGATTACTTATGCTATGCGTAATGCAGGCCTGGCTGCTTCGTAGTCAGAAACGAGTCATCATCAGTGGGTATGAGTTAGGTGCATGCAAGGCAGTGTGCACTGACTCACTTGCGTCTGGCTCCTTTGGTCTTCCAACTCATCAAATGCCTGGACAAAACTTTCAACTCTTCTTAAGGAATTTACCGTGCTCCACGGCCGACGGGGTCAACATTATCATCAAACATCCATGATCGGCAAATCAGATCTCATTTGAACCGAGCCCGGCTCACCGTACAATGCACCATCGACATCGTATTGATCCCTGTTGCATGAAGAACAGCGATTGTGCTCCAAGTCTCATCTCTGCATAAGCAGTACCTCGCATACCAAGCTTTACAGCATATTTAGCGCCTGATCAAGAACATCATAACAGGCGCCAAACATCCTAGACTACTCACTGGACATCAAGCTACAGCTTACATTTGAACACTTCCTTGATATAAGCTGTGAAAAGCTAGAACCGGATGCATATGATTTATGCCATTCCTTTAGAGAGGCGCAAAACGCAACAGGCATACGCTTGATATTGAAAATTATTGTCGAGAATTCCTATTGCGCAGGTAAATTTTGCTACAAAGCTGCGTTCTCATGTTAGTATCCCAAGACCTTCAACTTTGCTTGCATGCGTGAAACGTTAGTACATTCTGAGTATTATCAACGTTTCGTCTGTTTCGATAGATTACGAGTGTGGTACCCTATGGTCCAGCTAAGTTTTGCAGTCGGACTCTCCCAGCCGTGTTCCGGGGATTTCACAGATGTTGCCATGCATAGATTTCTCCTTAACATAAGATCAAATCTCACATTTTAGCCCATGATTGCCCGGTGGAACTCGGCCGCTATGTTCTCAGGACGATGAGATCCAACTATGAAAACTCATAAATTAAGTACATTGCGAGTACCACGAGTTTTGCACCTTGCAGGTAGTCCCTGACTGACAGCAAGTTGCGCCAGTCCAACCTTGCCCGCCACATTGCGCCCAAGCAGCTGCACAGTTTCCGCCACCGGCAGGAGGGGGGCTCGTCGGGGGAGATGGAGATGTTGGGGGTGAAGGATTGCCCGACCCAGCGGTGCAGGTGTCAGTTCCCACAATACAGTTTCTTTCGGCCGCAGTTCTGAATCAAGTAAGTTAGCCATGCCCACCCCGTGTAGCATGCACCAGGAGATATCCCTGGGTTTAGAAGCGACTTACATTCCAATAACATAACCGTGGCGAGCACTGCGCGGCAAGGCCAAACTGACAGACGACCAGTCGGCAGTGGCGATGTTGCTGGTTTCGAAAGGCTGGTATCCGCGGCCGCGAGTGTAGTCGTCGATTAGCATATGCCACTTGCTCGGCGTGATGTTGTCACGGAACACCAAAGGTCCTTCGCCGGCGGGCAGGCCCTGACCAATCTGGTTACGAATGACGGTCCAGGGTCCGTTCAGGGTGCTTGCGTGAGCTTGCTCTATGAGGTTGTTCGGCCCGTTCTTGCTGACGCGGTAGAATGTGGACGACGATGGGTCGCGGAAGACGGTAGCGTCCATGCCGGCGCCCGTGAGCCACTTTTCGGCAGGGGTGAAGCTGACAAAATCAGTGGTGAAAGAGCGCATGATGAACCAGCCTTCGCCCTGAATGGATGTTAGCAGTCATTGTAATGCAAGAGAAATATTATGAACCTTGAGATTGCATGTCCAGTGGACGAGGTCTAGGGATCAACGACCCGCATTAGAAACTTCAAGACACTCTGATTCGAGGTGATAACGTACAGCGGCTGGTTGCAGGATCCCATATGGCATCTGGGGCCCAGGTCATGCCAGCATTGCTTGGACTCACGATCCTCAGCTGAGAGGCTGACCAATTTCTCAAGTTGCTCGACTCCCACACGACAAGGCCTTTGGATCCATTGGAGGTGTAGTCATCGCCTACATCCCAGCCCCGAGGGTACACTCTGAGGTCCGTGGCGACAATCCAATATTTCCTGCCGTCTTGGCTGCGAATGATACTGGGATCACGCACACCCTTCATCCCGACAGTGGAGCTCAGCACAGGCTGGCCATTGTTTACAGTGGTCCAGGAACCTGGGTTGCTGTTATTCGAGACGGCCATGTAAATTTGTTCACCGTTGGCAGTTCCCTCTCCAGTGAACTGTTGGCGTCAGTTGTGCACATTCGAGACGTCATGGCGACATCGACTCCAGGATACTCACATAAACCATCAAGTAGTCGCTTAGTTGTCCATTCTGGCGACTTTCTAGCGATGCGGGCACCGCAACAGTCACCGAAGCCAGGGTGACGAACACGAACTGATACAGCTTCATTGTGATATCAACGTAGTTGAAATTTGTTTCAGGACTTGAAAGAATCTCGAACAACGTGGTGCCACGGCCGGCACCGCGGTAATATTTGTAGCAGTGCTCGGCTGGCCAGAGAGGGCCATCGGTCTAAATCTGCAATTCGTGACCTCTCGACATGGTCAACGGAACAGACAAGTGGCTACACGTCGAAGCTCCATAACAATCACCCAGGATAGGCTAACGGTGTATGATCCTCCGATTTGTTCCTCCGCTCGAGCGTATCAGGACCAGCGCAAGCACGATTTGGCCGGGTTGAAGGAGCCGGTATTGGTGCGCAAAGGACTAAGGTCGCAACAGCCACATGTATCCCATTGATGTAACCGCACCTGCAGTATGTACCCCTGGTCTTTTCATGAAGAACGCGGGGAATATACCGTGTGTTTCTCGGAGTTCTGGGGGATTAAAGAATAAAGAGACTTAGTCAGCTCAATGACTCTCAAAATCATCAAGCGGCCAAATCTGGTACACGGAGAGGTATCCGATCTGAAATCTGGACAAGCTGAATTTCAATGATTGACTTGAAGAGCGGATACTCGGAGCTCGGGATTCTGCATGTATGCACGGGGGGAGAGCTCATGTGCCTAATAGTTGTGTTCAACAAGGGCACTCCCAGATTCCCAGATGGCATGGCCTGCACGTGTGATGGACTTTTCCGTTATGACTTGTATCTGCAATTCATTTGCCGACGCATAGGACGACAAAGCTCGATCATCCAGGGAAACGGTGGCAGCGCTGTTTCATTGCTTTTGAGCGGGTTCCTTGATCGTCCCATAGGGAACAGATCTGGGCCCAGAGCCGCCACTCAGTTGTGAGTTACTCACTTGAGGAGATACGGAAGTGGCTGTTGGATTTCCCAGGTCAGTGAACTGACCCGTTGCATAAAAACATGGCGGATATGATTCAATGATGGATGTAGGGCACCATGTGACCATACTTGGTTCGGCCGATGCCGTCTCTTTCAGTAGGTGCGCAGGTCACGTCTGATGGTTGATGAGGATATTGACAAACATCTTCAAGCGTACTAAGTATCAAGACTACATGCGCTATCAAGTGGCAAGGCCCAGGTCGCGACGGACTTCCTGCAATATAGTGTTGAGAAGTATCATTCGGACAATAATTTGCCAGCGGATGCAAGCACCACCGGCAGCACCAACTCCGTTATTTTGACAAGGCAAAATTCAAGAAGTGTTCAAATGAGCATAGAAACACGTTTGATACTTAATACCTCAATCATGTAGGGATAGTCATGACGATGTTTGTCCTCGGGAGCTCGCTCGCGGTACCTGTGTCCGTCAAAATTCACCTGTAGACTGACTACCCTTTCATTGGAAAATCGAGTCAACGTGGTCAACATTACGTTTTTCGTCCAGGTTGCTTTGGCAGCGCCCAGTATGATCTCAGCTGACGGCCCCAATGCCAGAGCCAAAGCACGAGGCCGTTACTGGGGCACCACGGCCATCAACCTGTCGGTCATGAGCCACAGCCAGGCCAACCCCATCGCCAGCAACGGCCAGGATTTCGTATCATACACTTGCGAGAATGAGATGAAGTTTGATGCCCTCCAGCCGTCTCGTGGCACTTTTCATTACGGCAATGCAGACCCTATTGTTGCGCAGGCCAAGGCGAATGGCATGAACATGCGTTGCCACGCGCTCATCTGGCATTCGCAGGTGCCCGCCTGGGTCAGCAACGGTAATTTCGACCGCACGACCGTGATCAGTATCTTGTAGACGCACATCCGCAACGTGGTGACGCACTTTAACGGTCAGTCTAGATCGGATGTATAAGAGCGTGGGTTATTCAATGCCTGGAGGGTGAATCAGTATGCTGCTACGCTTGGGATGTTGTCAATGAAGCCCTCAACGAAGATGGCACATACCGCACCACTGACTCGGTTTGGTACCGCACTATTGGAGTCGATTACATCCCGCTGGCGTTCAAGGCAGCCAGGGCCGCTGACCCCAGCGCGAAGCTGTGCTACAACGACTATAACTGCGACCGCCCAGGTCGCAGGGCAACCAGGGCGCAGAATATGTTCCGCATGGTCCGGGATGCTGGTGCACTCATTGACGGCATGGGCCTGCAGGGCCACATGGCTACTGGGCAGATTGAGTCACTTGCTACTCTGACTGAGAATCTCAGGGCGTTTGCCAATTTGAACGTTGATGTTGTGTACACGGAACTTGTTAGTACTGTTCCATGTACCTCCAGGAAGGACTTGCCTCCAAATAATTTCGGGCCCATGAAAATACCAAACCGCTGAGACAATCGTGTACTTTAGGACATCGTAGCCCGTAGCGGCTCAAGCCAGTTCCAACAGCAGGCCACAGATTGGCCCACCGTCGTTCAAGCCTGCCTCGCTGTCGCGCGCTGCGTCGGCATCACAGGTTGGGGTTTCACCGACGCGCACACCTGCATCGGCGGCGGCAACCCACTCATCTGGGACGCAAACTATCAGAAGAAGCCGGCCTACAATGCCATTCTCACTGCGTGGGGTAGCAGCAGCGCGACTCCTCCCACGACGCCCCCGACGACGCCGCCCCCATCTGGCAGCGTAAGTACACCTGGTGGGTGTCCTGATGTCTATTGAAGGTGAAAAGGAGAAAAGCTGACCATGTTGCCTACACAGCGCTCCCCCCCTGTACGGCCAGTGCGGCGGACAAGGCTACACGGGCAGCACATGCTGCAGCTGGGGGACGTGCCGTGCCCAGAACCAATGGTACTCGCAGTGTCTGTGAGCGCACGCCTGGACCGGTATTGCAAATGCAATAGTCTGCGTTTACAGGTCAGATGAGGGTCAGACCGGTGAGCATGGCTTGAAGAGCATGTTGGCCGTAATAGTGTGCCATGACTGTAGGGGTTTGGAATCGTAGGACCCCTCATTGACCTGACGACTAGTCTATACTAGTGAAAGGTCGATTCTCATTCCGCAGACACCTATTCTCAGGGAATCTCGTCCATGACCACGACAGAAGGGGTGCAAACGGCAAGTGAGATGGGTTCTGCCAAACGAGTTGCTCAATGTACATTATTGGTCTGTCGAATATGACCAGGTTGCTAGGTCGAGACCAGGGGATCCTGGACGGCGCCAGGCACAGCAGCATTGTTCATGAGGTTTGGGTTCATGTGTCCACCACTACTGAGTCAATGACGTCGTTGAATTCCATGTACCCGTCATGACCGCCATAACCCGAGTGAACACATCAACTCGCGACTCCCGGTCAACATTGAAGCCGTCGACGACCGGCCGAGCCATCTTCGTCCCGTTTTCCGACTCTTACTCAACAGAAGCACATTCGGACATTATGGCACCAAATGGAATCAATGGACAGAATGGCGAGCCAGCATCGCAGTCGGGCAAGAAGCGGGTGCTCATCGTCGGCGCAGGTGCTGCAGGGTGAGATGACCAGCAGAGGTGAACATGAACGATAGCTAACGTGTGACAGCATGTCGGCGGCTCATCACCTGTCGCAGCACCGTGACAAGTTCGACGTGACGCTTATCGATGCCGTCGATTACTGCGGCGGCCAGGCCTTCTCGATCCCCCTGGACAAGGAACGGTACGGCGCCTCGTGGTGCAACCAGGGTGTCCAGGGCGGCTCTTACATCTTTCATCACACGTTCACCATGTTTAATCGCCAGGGCTACCAGGCTGACCCTGTCAACCTGCACGTGTCCTTTGGCAAGGACGAGACGTTTTGGACCAACGTCTTCCCGACCAAGGTGTTGGCCGAACACCAGAGTGAGGTGCGGCGCTTCGCCAAGGTCTTGAAGTTGATGCGTTGGTTTGAGGTCTTCTTCGCCTTACTGCCTCTGCGGCTCGTCCTTAAGATGTCCTTCTTCTCCGAAGATTTTATCAATATCGTCGCTCTGCCCATGACTGCGCTCTTTCTTGGCACTGGAAACGCGACGCCCGAGGTCCCGGCTGTCATGCTCGAGCGGCTGTGCACGTCTCCGACCTATGGCATGTGGTACCCGGCCAACGAGAACACGGTTGTCGACAACAAGCCGCCGATGGTTGTGTTCCCCAACTTTTCCGAGTTTTACAGCACGTGGAAGCAGGATCTCGAGTCGCGCGGCGTGACGGTCCGTCTGTCGACCGAGCTGGACGAAGTTGTCGAGCGCAGCAAGAAGGGCGTCACGGTGCGTCTGCGCGCAAGGCGACCGGCCGAGGACTCGCATAACCCCGCCGGCGCCGACCAGGACATTCCGACGCAGGAAGAGTTCTTCGATGAGCTGGTGCTTTGCACGCTGGCGGACACGGCCAAGCGTGTGCTCGGCAAGACAGCGTCGTGGCGCGAGCGCAAGGTGCTAGGGTCGGCTAAGTTTAGCGACGATATAACCATCACGCACAACGACTCGGACTACATGAAGAAGCACTATGAGAACTTCTACCGCGAGGACCTCGCTGTCCGGGATACCAATGGCGTCGACCAGACGGGACGGCTCGAGGAGGCGAGAACGAGCTTCCGACCAATGTACTACATCAAGATGTACGACCAGGACCGACAGAAGCTCGAAATGTGCTTCGACACGACAAATTACCAGTCGCAGTTCCCGGAGAAGGTGCCGTTTGAGCAGCACGTGTTCCAAACCATCTACCTCAACAAGGACCGCGACAGCGAGCTGTGGTCGGACAACGAGATTGCCGAGGACAAGATCATCCGCAAGGACTGGTGGCACCAGCTGTGCCACAGCTACACGCACTACCTGCTCGTCGTGCCCTGGATCATGTTCCTGCAGGCGCGAAACAGCGTGCGTTTCGGCGGTTCGTGGACGCTCGTCAACGCCCACGAGGTCGCCATCATCTCGGGTCTCGCGGCCGCCGTGGATCTGGGCGCCGACTACCCCGAGGATCTCGAGAACGACCGGTTCGCGTTCCTATGCTTCCGTCTGTACTACCTTCTCGGCTACGGCAAGTGGTACCGCCGCAAGTATAGCAAGGGCGTGCCGACGACGCAGCTCGCCAGAGACGGAGCCAGCTGGCCGACGAGCACGTACGGAGGCGTCTATCAGGGCCCTGGTGTCGCGACTCAGGAGCGGAGGTGCTGGAGGCAGGAGATGAAGACTGGAAGGAGCACCGACAATCTTGCGCAGGATAATGGCAGTAGGAGTCAACCTTGATCATTGGTCGGCGGATGTCCAGAAGCGACCAGGACGTGAATGGCGGCTCTGGCTGTGGTGTGTTTGGGTTTGTCACGACGCAGTCAAAGATGACCCGGGCATAGTAGTTTTCTTGAGCGAAAGGTGGCTATTTCCGAGTCTGACAAATTCCTCGACTGAAATTGATGTGTGTATGTTCTGCTCAGACGAGACGGCGTAAGGTTGACCGCCACGATGACCAAGATCAGAGGTCAAGCCATTGATGGTGGGTAGTCATCTTACTAGAGGCTGCAGACGGCACGAAGTCAAACAGCAAATCAACCTTCATGCTCGCAAATCAAGCCGAGGCAAAGATCAGAGGCGACTAGGCATAGCCGTCTGCGGGGAACCCCCCGCGGGGGCGGTATGTAGGGCACTCCAAGGCCAATCCACCTGGCGAGAAACCTTGCCAAGGATCACCACTCCAGCCCTCAACCCTCTGCGTATGCTCCGATGGTGGCCAACCTCGGCCACCAAGATGCCACAAAACAGCAGAACGATTCCGCCATGGAAATCCGCCAGCGGTTGGGTTCCGCATGCGGCTCCCCGACTATCCAAGAGTTTGGCGCCTCTTTTCAGGGATCTGGCTCCTGAGAAGGGGCTCGATTGGGCGCCCAAAGACTTGGCGTCAAGCACCTCGACGCCATTCTCGGTCTTGAAGTCGATATTTCCACCTCTTTATCAATATTCTTGCGCCTGGATCGTGAGATTAAGATGTGAGCCTTGATCACCTCGGTAAACCCGCTTACAGGCGGCACTGATTGTCTTCTGGCAAGAATACCAGCAATACTGTCCCGTGTTCTTACAGGGCCTCTAGTGGGAAACGTCCACCCCGCAGGAGACTGTGCGTGCAGTGGTGTCGGTGTCGCAGTGGTAGCGGGAGCGGTAGCGGTAGCGGAAGATGGAGCCTGCGGTTCGGAGGCAAACCATAGGTGTTTTGACCAACGTCTGGCGGCTTGCAGCCCTATGCTCAACGTATCGCATCTGAGGTCTTTCCCCAGAGGCATTGCAAGCGTTTATCATCAACAATTCCGTACCAACTGCCAGCAGATACGTCACTTGACGCAGGCAAGTTGAGATGGACATGCAAGTCTACCCTCATGGCCCCCCGCCCTTCGCCGTTCACCAAACAACTGAATTATAGCGTCGCATTTCAAGTCTTATTGGAGCGTATCCCACGCCCTGCATGACCTTCCCTTCTCGGAGGCGCCAGCCCTTGTAGTCTCAAGGATGGATGCAGCCCTCTCACGAAAATCCGGAGGAAATCGCGCGGGAAGCCGCAGTGGTCTCCACCACATCAACGCCGTCCACCAGCATGTCACATCAACGCCTCCCTACTGCGGCTAGAAGCCAGGCGAGGCGAGCAAGTTTAGGCCATGTCTCTGCACCATTTCATCAGGCGGCGTCGGCGGCTGGAAATCCGGCAGATCTAGAGCTTTTGCTGGCCGTCCAGTGACGGCGACGACACAAGGCCAAAACGCGGGGTTGGTCCCGAACGGACGACGATCTTTTCCCCCCTGCCACCTCGTGTCACCATGTGGGACGACGATGATCGTCACATTTTCCTTTGGTCCCAAGCGACCGACTTCGGCGTGCTCACGCCGGTCAAGTTGTGAGTCAAGCGACAGCCGTCAATGGTCGGGAGGGGAGAGGGGAGTGGATGGGCTCATGCATTTGGCGCAGGCGGACAAGATAAAAAGGAGCCATCGCCGCCCTGACACTCCTTTGAGGGCAAATGTGAGACCTTAAGAGATAGTCAGACCAATCGAAGGACTCAAGACAGGCACGGCTTGTCTCTTTGTCGCGTTGATTCCTCTCCACCACATCTGGTCAACATCGAGACGCCTTGTTCGTTTCCCGACACGTCACGATGCAGGAAGAACCACGAACGCAGCACCGGCATGATGATCGTGAAGAGTCAATCGCCGGCTCCCTCAAGGCCGGCAATGGCTTCGATCCCGAGCAACCCTCGCCGGCGCGCATCGCCGACGCCAGTGTCCAGTGTCCGGCCCACACGACTGAGCGCAAGCTCCTGACCAAAATCGACCTTCACGTCCTCCCTTTCCTCTGCGTCATGTATCTGCTCGCTTTCCTCGGTATGTCTTGAGGCGTCGCCAACTGCTTCTTCCTGAACTGATCGAATTGCGCGCCCAGACCGCGTCAACATTGCCAATGCCAAAGTCTTTGGTCTGGCGGAAGAGCTAGAACTCGACGGCAACCTCTACAACAATGCGCTCGTCGTTTTCTTCGTGCCCTACATCCTGCTCGAGATCCCTTCCAATATTCTGCTGAAAAAGTTTCGACCTCATGTCTGGCTTAGCATTAACATGTTCGGTTTCGGGCTCGTGACCCTCCTTCAGGGCTTCGTCCAGAACTACGCCGGCCTCATCACCACTCGCTTCTTCCTCGGCGTCTTTGAGACGGGCATGTTCCCCGGTGCCTTCTACCTCATCGGCATGTGGTACCGTCGTCACGAGGCCCAGAAGCGCTACTCCTTCTTCTTCAACTCGACGACCCTCGCCGGTGCGTTTGGCGGTCTCCTCGCCGCAGCCATTGGCAAAATGGACGGTCTGCGCGGCTTCCGCGGCTGGCGCTGGATCTTCATCCTCGAGGGCGGCCTCACCGTCTTCGTCAGCCTCTTCTTCTACTTCTGGCTGCCCGACTTTCCCGAGGATGTCAAGTGGCTCAAGACGGATGAGCGCGAGTTCATCTCTGCCCGCCTCCGCATCGACCAGGGCGCCGCCGCTCATGATCGCAGCATCACCCTACGCGACGTCGGACGCGTCTTCAAGGACTACAAGGTCATCGTCGGCGGCTTCATGTACTTTGGTCTCATCGTCCCCGCTTACGGTTACGCCTATTTCGCGCCCAGCATCATCCGCACGTACGGCTACGACGCAATCCAGACACAGTTGCACAGCGTGCCACCCTGGGTCGTGGCCTTCGGCTTCTCCATGGCTGTCGCCACCGTGTCCGATCGCCTCCGCCATCGCTTCGCCTTTGCCGTGCTCGCCATCTGCATTGCCATTGCCGGCTTCGGCATCCTTATTGGCGTGCACGACAACACGAAGCTGCAGTATGCCGCCCTCTTTCTCGTTGCCATGGGTGCCTACACGGCCATGCCCATCATTGTCTGCTGGTTCAACATGAACCTCGGCGGCCATCATCGACGTGCCGTCGGCAGCGCTTGGCAGGTTGGTTTCGGCAACATTGGTGGCATCATTGCCGTCTACGCGTTTCTCCAGAAGGACGCCCCCAAGTACATCACCGGCTACAGCATCTGCATCGCGTTTACTGCGCTGAGCATCTTAGCCTGCGTCGTCTACGGCATCGCATGCCACGCAGCCAACCGCGCAAGAAACAAGACGGCAGGCCAGACTGTGCTGACCGAGGAGGAGAAGACGGAGCTGGGTGACATGTCGCCTGAGTACCGATATCTCCTGTGAGAGAGGCCGTGTGTTCTAGATGTGGGTTCTGTTGTGGTCATGGATGTTGCCTCCTGATACCCTAATGAGAGGATTGTGAATCATGTTTGCCACATTGCGCTTTCTGATGCGCTTCGCACATTGCTGTTGTGTGTTGTGTGGCTACATTGCAGCACGATTGTTTGTCGTGCTGGTCGTGTCATGTAGTTTTGTGAGTGTGATGATCAATTGCCACGAGAGTGAGATTTCGAGCGACAGTGCCGCATGTTTGTCTGGCCAGAATTTTCGTTGTGGGTGCCCTTTTTGCCACGATGTAACTCGAACGAGGATGGTGAGTATCTGACTCCATCCACATCACATTTTCCAATCTCTGGAAGCGGCGGCGTCGAGGAAGCACACGTTTCCCGTGCGTTCCGGGATTCGGCATCCTCCGTCTTCCAGTGCCCGAGTTCCGGGGATTGCTTCGAAGACCCAGCCCGAGATTTTCTCCCACGAGATCTTAATCTACGAGCGATCGCGATGGAAATGCTGTGCGCAGCAGTCAGTCTCCTTCGGGGTTTAAACCCGACCGAAATTTGACACGAGTTGCGGGTTGCAACGTCGGGCAAAAGTCCACTGCCGATCCCCGTATCAGAGATCCCGATCCTACCCTGGTTCCGCCGGAAGGGGGGGCCATTGTCCTGATTCAGGTCCCCTGTTCACGATTCCTTATCCTGAACGACCCACGACGCCGCTTTCATCAAGCAGGGTGTCGGTATCGGACAGCAAGTCAACCTCCAAGGGGAGAGGGAGAAATAGTTATCAGCAAACTGGCGTCGAAACACGCCAATTATACAAATTCGCTCTCGTCTGATCGTATACAACATGCGCCCATTGCTAGAGAGCATCCCTCTCGTGAAACTCCATGCCATGCTTAACGTAGCCCCTGCGCCAGCGACGGCGGCGACTGATCGTACTCCACGGCATATGTGTAATGGGCGCGGATGCCCTTGGCGCCCTCGCGGTCCTCGCTCAGCAAGTCCCCCTTGTCCGAGTCACCGTCCTGCAGCCTCTCCCAGTTGTCGTCGCCGAGTCCCTGTACCGTCGTCAGGCTAAATCCCACATCGGTAGGGTTGCGAAATCGGTCACGGCTTGCGCCGGGCGTCTTTTTGCTGTTGCCGAATGTAAAGAGGGAGACGTCGCCAGCCGTGGCGCGGCCCGAGTGTTGTGTCGAGTCTTCGAGGCCGCGGCGACGCATGATCAGGCGGCGCAGTGACGGAATCGACGAGGCGACGCAGCCGATGCCTGTTTCAATGTTGGAGCATAGAACCGTGTGGCCGACCCAGACTGTGCAGTACATTAGTAAGTAGTCGCTTCCTGGCTGGTTCGAAAAGCTTCTTACACTGTAGATCGACAGGCACGCGGAAGCGGTTGACGTAGGGAATACGGACCATCGTGATGATCGACGCGCTGCGCATTCTACTATTAACAAGTGTTCCGACAACACGAAGGCCTTGGTACTCACAGTGACGCAAACGATAGCAGGCCAAATACCTGCAGCTTGGTTTGGGTCTTCATCTGCGACTTCCACAGCATGACGGCCGGCAGCACAGCGAGGGCCAAGTCGGTAACGATGGTCGTGCTCGTGGCGACGTGGCCCAGGGCGATAAACGTCTCAACCGGCGCGCACTTCGCCTCGCCGCTGAGAATGAGCGCCGGCTGCCAGACGGCCTCGACGGGGCGGCAGTATAGCAGTACGCCGACAAATGTGACGAGGAAAGATGCCCAGGTGATGGCGAGGAGAATCCAGACTGATATGCGCATGATTCTCTGCGTGTCTGCAATGCGCTGTATAGTCACACAGATAGATGACTTGACGATAGCCAGAGCCCAGACGTATGTCAGGATCCAAATGATGTAGAACTTCATCGCCTCCTCGGCCATCCAGGCGTTCAGTTTCTCCTGTCGTGTGCCAATACCGACGGTGCAGGCGTAGATTGCCAACCCTACCACTGCCGTATAAATAACCTATTGCCGTCTTGTCAGTCCACAGCCCTTGTGCTCCCCTCGTCGAGATGTTGTTCGTACCGCTCCGGCTGCCATGAGGCCATCGTCGAGGCCAAATACGCGATCAGTGATCCGCACGTAAGTTCGGAGGCCGACCGCAATAATCGACAGAAACAGAAAGATGCTCGAGACAACAATGATGGCCAGCGGCAGATGAACTGGCGTCAAGCTGCGCAGGTTCGGATCGACAGGGTTTGCGGAGTCCATCATGTAGCTTGTCGTCGATGTAGAGGATAGTCGACACAATCTCTCATTACGAGCCCGCAGATTCCCATAACGAGGACGGCCGTTCCAATATTAAAAGGCACATCCTAACCAGCGTCAGCCTCTTGAAGCCCAGACTTGACGTCTAGAACAGGGGCCCAGACCCGGAAACCGGGGCCTTGACGTGCATTGCTGGGGCTTGACTCGTAATTCCGACTGATGCCCACACAATCTCGATTTTTTCCTCGTGGCGCCGTGGAGTTGGCAGCCAAGTTCTCCACGATCCAGCCATTCAGGAGGCGCTGCATGGCGCATCAGGGGCGCAAATAGCCAGGGTGTCATTGGCACCAGAGGCAACAACTCGGGGTGGGCTTCACGCAAAGCGGAGTCCCAAGAGCGCGAGTCCCGACCGGGATCCCAGGCCGGAGACCCTAGTGTGTGTGAGGTACGGCCGAACCCCTACATGTGACAGCCATTAAGTACTCCTCCTCCAGGGATTGCAGAAGTCAAGTGGGCAGAAACGCTGCGGACAGTCTTGCCTGCGTCCTGTTTCTTCTCCACAAAGTGTGGGCAGAAGTGGCCATTCTGCCAACACCTCCTGGCAAATCTCGGTCTTTTCGTCTGTAAGCGGGATAACCGGCCGACTGCCCAGATCAAGTCTGCTGCCAAACTGGTTGTTGCTGCCGCGGACTTGACGGTGGTGGTTGGTCTACCCCTGACGTTGGTCTTTTGCGTTTATACTTATCGCCGACATGTCTGTCATAATACTACCCTTATGGATGCTAACCTTCCCCTCGACACTCTTCCTGGAACAAACGGCTGCTGTCATAAAACCAGCCAACAAAAAGACATGTCGCCTCCCGAGCCTTCGGTTTCCTTCTTCACGGCTAAGACGGCGCTGGTCTTGGCTGGTGTCTGGCTAGTGTACAAGCTGCTTGAGGCCGCCTACAATGTGTCGCCTCTCCACCCCCTGAGCCACGTTCCGGGCCCTAAATTAGCGGCAGCCACTTACCTACCAGAATTCTACCATGACGTTGTACTATTCGGACGCTATACGAATCAGATTAGGCAGATGCACGAACAGTATGGTGAGTGGTTCTAGCGAGGACAGAAGGAAGCCTTGAACATGGTCTGAAGACGGGATCAAAGCGCAAAGACGGCCCAGCTAACCACAATGTTGAGGCCCGATCGTTCGAATTAACCCCAATGAAGTGCACTGCAACGATGCCAACTTTGCCGACGATATCTACGCTGTAGCGGGGCGAAAGAGGGACAAGCCTGTCCATCAGATCAATGGCTCAGCGTATGTGCTGCCGTCTTCGTAAGGAGCATACGTTCGAGACACCGCGGCTGATCATTGCAGGCTCGGACAAGCTGGCTTCGGCACAGTTGATCACGATGTGCACCGTCTGCGCCGTATCCCTCTGGCCAAGTTCTTCAGTCGCAGCATGATCGCTCGACTGGAAGGTGACATACAGGCCCAAGTTCAGAAGCTTTGCGACAAGCTGCTCGCTCAGTCTGGCAAGAAGCACGGATTCGACATCACCATGGCGTACAGCTGCTTTACTGCCGATGCCATTTCGGGCTATTGCTTTGGTGACAGCTTCGGCTTCCTGGCCCAGGAAGATTGGTACCCTAACTTCCGGGAGCCAACGGCGTCAATCCTGAAGCCTGTTTTCATGTTCCGCTTTTTCCCCTTTCTGAAAGGATTAGCTGTCACCGGAAAGTGGTAAGCACTTCCACACACCTGAATTGTATTGATTGTTTGGTATCATGAAGGTTAATGCGTGAGTTGCCTAGGTTCGTCAACTATCTGCCTGCCGACATCGCTCTCTTCATCCAGACGCTGCAAATTGACATTCCCAACCAAATCAAGAAGACAAAGGCCGAGATGGATGCTGGTATCATCCACGACCGCCCGACAGTCTTTGGCTCACTGCTCGAGTCTGACCTCCAGGCTCATGAGAAGCAGCCGCAGCGGCTATCGGACGAGGCAACCGCCGTCGTCGGCGCCGGTACGGAAACCACGAGCTGGGCCTTGTCTATCATCACCTACCACCTCCTGACCAAGCCTGAACTCCTCGCCAGACTAACGACTGAGCTCAACGCCAACATTGAGAACTCCAAAGAGCTTCCCTCGTGGACCGTTCTCGAGAAGCTACCGTACCTGGGCGCCGTCCTTCAGGAGGGTCTCCGTCTCTCATACGGCGTGTCTGCCCGCACTGCTCGTATCGCTACAGAAGAGAACCTAGTCTATCGTGGTGAATTCAATAAGCGTCCTGTCGAATACGTTATACCCCAAGGATACGCTGTCGGCATGTCGGCCGCCATCACGCATCATGACGAGACAGTTTTCCCAGATTCAGAGTCTTTCTCCCCTGAGCGCTGGCTCGACGAGAATAACCAACGCAGAAAGGACGTTGAGCGTGGCATGCTAGCCTTTTCGAAGGGAAGCCGTGCCTGCTTAGGCATGAAGTGAGTATACTATATCCCTTCTTCCCCTTGACGATGACTCCACGCTAATGACGTGCAGCTTGGCCCTTTGCGAGCTCAATCTTTCTCTTTCCGCCCTCGTACTGCGGGTTCTCCCCCACATGAAGCTGTACGAGACAACGGAGGTGGATATACTGTATGATCACGACATGTTTGTTCCATGCACAAAGGAGAGCAGCAAGGGTGTACGAGTCACAATTGATTGAAATGGACCGGTGCAAGATTCACATTGAAAGCAAGATTGACGGTTTGAGGGTCTGCGTTTACTTAGCTTTTTAAATTTCCTTCAAGAACATTGTGAAATCACTTATTACTCTCATGACAATTGTCTCCGTGTTTGCTGACTTGACAGAGAAGAACGAGTAATCGACTTTAACATGCCATGGTTGTGGCCGCCCAGAGACGTACCTGACTCAGCATCTCTCCCCTGTATTGTGATTCGCCCTCCCCCCCCTCTCCCTTGGTTTTGAAGCCGGTACCCAAGTCTCAGCATGGTTTCCAATATCATGCTATTCTTTTGAAGATTCTAGGCTGTGTTCATCAAACTTGCGGCAGATGAACAAACGCTGTCGGCGTTAGAACAGAGTACGTCCCATCTTGTCGAGGGTCTCAACGATGGGGTGTAGAATAGGAAAGGGAGTCTTCCGTAGCCTTCTCGTCATTGTTTATCATCTCAGCTCCCGTGCAAAAAGCAAGGGGCGTCGTTGAACCTCTGATACGGTGCCACTGGTTATGGGTAAAACGTCCTGGATGTTGATGAGTATCTATGATGGGCTCGTTACCTAATTTGTAAAGTAGCGCGTTGACTTGATGCATCCAATTGGTCAAGACAAGGTCAGAGCTGCATGCAATCATTTGGTTACATAGAAGGGCTCCAAATTCTTTGTCTCGAGTCCTTTTAATCGGCCAAAAAGGATATTGAATGTGACAAAGCAGTTTTCAGTCGAGGGTGTCAAATCTCGCACATGAAATATACCTGTGCTCCATCCTTGAGTGGCTAGAATAGAACACCATCGCCATTCTCGCCAATCTCTACCGGACACCGGCCTTTGTTAATAATTTGTTCGTGATCAATGTCTTTATAGTCATAGGGTTCAAGAAGACCTTGACGATTGTATACCCTGTTCCCAAGTGCTCTGTTGACTCGCTACCAAGCTCTCTCATTATGTCGGATAGACTGACCAGAAAACTGTCAAAGATGCACAGCGTTATAGAACTTGCTCTTTGATGTGCACAGCAATAGCAAAGGCAAGGAGGTTCTTCCTGTTGAAGTCAGAGCCTCACTGTACACTAGCAGACCGTGAAGTTTGTTGGATTATGTGTGGTATGTTCCCAGTTCATGCTTTGTTTCTTATTTGTTGGCAGAAACAGCAATCTTGTCATGAGATACACACCCTACGTCTAGTCTCACTTGGTGTAATACGAGTTTACAATTCTAGATATATAAGATATAGGCAGTTACTGCCATAGGAACACCAAAGCGAGAAGATTCACAAACGAATACAGCCCGCAACAAGCACCCTACCTGGAGACATACAGCCTTCGCAACACGCAACTATACAACCTACAACAACATAAGTTAAAAAACAATCCCAATCCAACCGGCAAGACCATAAAGCCTTCCATATAAATTCATCCAGGAACCTAGAAACATGGAATCCTACGTTTCCCTTCCATACATGGTGGCCCCCGAACTCCTTCCGGAGCCACTACCCACCATCGAAGACATCGCTGCCTCGAAAGATATTCTGAAGGAAAGAGGCGGGCTTCGCGTCGTCCGGATCGGAAAACACTTCATCGTTAAATATGGGATGCAAGTGCATCTTCTAGAGGGCGAAAACATGCTGTACGTCAAGCACTTTATGCCTGCCTCTGTGCCCACTGTTTACGCCATCTACTCCCACCAACCTGAGGGCAAGAAGTATCCCATCAATTATATTATCATGGAAAATATATCGGGCCAGCCTTTGTCATCTTGTTGGAGCTCTCTAGATCGAGAGGAGAAAGCCAGAATAGCTTGCGAGCTCCGAAATCATATGAATCGGCTGCGTCAAATCCCTTCGCCTGGTTACTTCGGGTCGATTGGAAGGCGTCCGTTTTCCAATGATGCAGCCTTTTGGACAATGTATCACATCGATAAATGTCCACCTATGGGTCCATTTGACACTGCGAAGCAAATGCTTCTTGCCATAGCCGAGGACGTTCGGAATTTGAGGCAAGACTTAGAAACTGGCCGTCTAATGCACGAATTCTATGAACGGGTCTTCCCAATAGTACTCGATAGTCAAACGTCCGTCTTTACTCATGGAGACTTGCAGAGAAAAAACATCATGATTGCCGAGGATGGGGCCGTCGTTATCATCGATTGGGAAGTAGCAGGATGGTACCCAGTCTACTTCGAGTACTGTCTTGCGATGAGCGCAAGTTATTTTATGGATGATTGGCATTATTGGGTTCCTCAGATATTGGACGAGTATCTCAATGAGTTCCCCTGGATGGAAATGCATTTCCGGACCCGCATCTTTTAAGAGGGTAGTTGCCGGAGCGTAGTTTGAGCAGAGTGAAGAGGGGTCCCGCGCTGGGTCCTCAGGCAATAGATAATAGGCATGGGAGCAGACACATCTGAATTTTGACCCTTCACAACCCTTATATACGCGCTCTCGTAGCCTCTAGCCCCTGACCCGCCCTGTGTTTCATGGCTCCGCAAAGCCTCCTGACAGTAGTTCAGAAATCAACGCGGTCGTTCACCAGGTCGACCGAGCCTGTCTACTTTTTTTTGGATCTTTGGCATGACAATTTGTTGAAATCATGGAACAGTTGGAAGCGCCCAATCTCAGATTCAAGCAGCATATGCATCGCCGTGTTATCACCTCGTCTAGAGATTCTGCTAAAGTCTTTCTTGGGTAAGTAACATCTCCTGACTCATGACTCACTCCTTTCTAGCCCACAACCCTTGTCCAAAGACTGCATCTGACCGCCGAATTCATAGTTTCCCGTGATATTCTCGCAACAAGTCACTATGTGGACTGACCAGAGTTCTTCAAGTCTCTGTGCATGGTAGTTCGAGTGTGCATGGTAGTTCGAGTGTGCCAGGTGCCCCTTGCAAAACACACATGTCGCTAAGAGCTTGTAATGCTTCCCGAATCCATTCCTGGCATCGTCGCAATGGCACTCTTGGATATAGTCGTTTGCTGACATGATACTGCTTTCTTGGTGGCGGTATACTGGCGCAAATAACTTTGAGGCGAGAGTATTCGTCGTCATCCACCCAACCAAGAAATTTCTTGTTTTTGTATACATGAGATGCTTCAGGTTGGGGGCTTGGCCTTGTTTGGTACTTCATCCCACTTTGAATGTCCCCCTTCACATGGAACAGTTGTCCTGATCCATCGTCTTCGCATGTTTCAACGAAAAGGGCATGATGGTCCTGGTCAAACCCAATGTACTCCACGAGGAAAACGGAATGAGCCATATTCTATCAGCAGTGAGCATGTTGCATCTTGAAGGGACCCAGTAGAACTTACCAATTGGAGCTGAGGTGGGATTAAATTGATGCCTGTTGGCAAGGAGTCTTGAAGGCGAATGGATAATCACGGATAGGTGAAAAGCTCCGGAGCTAGTTTTTATATGATTGGTTAGAGGTATTGCTTATTGCTATTGAACTGTTGTTTGTGTCTGTCCGTCCTTTCGAATTCGATAGGTCTCTTGGTACCACTTGTTTATATATATTGGTCTTGATGTCTGTCAATCCGTAATAGAAGCGGCCTCATTGAACACATAGGATCCCATTAAGTCATTGGTAAGAGATTTGCAAACTCTGGAACCGATGGTCAAAGCCCTAGATTGCGCAACAAACGCCACTTACCTGTATCAACTTTGAGAGCTGCAACAGGCGTTTCGTACATCTCTCGTAAGATGACGCAATTGAAGAAAATGCATAGCCTTTAGGGATAGACTCACTGCTACTCAGTATTCAAAAGCCATCGTCAATATTGTGGCTGTTTCTGAACTGTCGGGGAAGGAGGGAAGGCGGGAAGAGGGCGATGGTTGCGCCTCGTCCCTTTGTTCCGATACAACATTGGCACCGCACCCAAATTCGAATTCCTTTATTCTGTAACCATTCCCTGAGGTCATCCTTTTACCGCCATAGCCTCTCGACTCCAACCCCAGTTCATGTAATGTCCGCTCTAGATTTCTCATCTAATATGAGACGTGACACAACGTCCTTGTTTCCTTCCTATTAGGGATTGTGAGACTCTACACGAGACCTGCCATGCTCTCTCCCTGGTTAGCGATTCCACCTACCTAGCATGCGGCTGACAATGGAAGCTGTGTACTTTCAGACTGAAGCTGCTGGTGGCTCAGTCTTCGGGCAGCTCCTCTTCGCCCCTGTAGGAAGATTGTCCTACGGTCGATGTCCGTTACACAAGGCCCATTCCCTCTTTGACTGCAGTTCAGCTTTTTGTTGGTTTCATACGCACCTCGGGGGCGTGTCTCTCTTCCAAATCACTATTCAACACATGCACGGTGGGTGGACTTCGAACAGTGCATAGCTGTCA